TGCAACCAAGTTTGTCAAATAAGATTGTTTTTTGTGATAAGCATGTGTGATGTTTCACATATACTATGATTTTGCTATAAGTATAGAAGTTGCTTTTCTATTTCTCTCGTTTATCATATTTATAAATAAACATTGTCGAAATTGTGTTAAGTATTTACTTAAGTGCCTTCGGAATGTTAATGAGTTTAACTTGTAAAGAACTCCTTTCTCACGACACAATGAAATTCCTCCTTTTCCTCCTTTTTCCTACTTTTTCATACGAAATCCTACAAAAATTTCCTTTGAAAATCCTCCATATTCCTCCTTTTTAAAAAAATGCCGTTAACATACCAGATTTAAGCATTGTCAGTTGTTGCAATGTAGTTCGTGTCATTGAGGCACGATGTTGTCGGAATAAGAAACCACTCTGACTAAAAACTCGTTCGACTGGAGCTGATGTAGCAGGAATCGACAAAATCTTCATTGCTAATTTTGATAATGTCGGATAGATATTTGTAGAATTTATAAGAATCATAGGATCGGTAATATCATCATTTAGATATCTCAATATCTCATCTTTAATATTACTAAATGGATCAGACTTTGTTCTTTTTGTTTCATGGACGATGTTACCAAATAATTGTTTTCGTTTTGGTGTGACGGGACTTGTTGCAGCACTAGCAGCAGACGATTGTGCTTGCGCTGTTGACGTAAGTGTTGATGACGAACAATCATTATCCAATGCCTGAGATGGCGTTGTTATCGGATCCCGATGCAATAAAATGCACTGCTCCAATACGAGTTGCTGTATTTTAGCCGATAATTCTTCTCGTGCTTGTTCCAAAATAGGCGCACTTTCACGCAAAATCCAATTTAAACGAAACCGACCATCCAAGAAAGGTGCCATTAAAAAAACAGGATCTTTAAACAGGTCATAAAACTTTTTATTTTTCTTCTTTTCTGTAATTTCAATTGTTAATGACATTTGCTCCAACAAACCACCAAAGCGAGATAAAAGAGATTCCAATAATGATTGACATAAATTTGATGTATGTTTAAGATTTGTCCGTTCAATCAACAGATCCGAATAAATAGATAAAATGGAAGGAGCCACCATTGATATAGAAGGAGTATTTTGCGCTTGCGTGGCGGTTGTTGCTTGAGCAAAAAGTGACAATAGATTAATCAATTCAGTGAGTGCTTGATAATCTGCTGTTTTAGACATAATTCTCGTCGCTGCGCTTGTATTAAAATGTCATTCAAATCAGATGCTTGAATACGAACTATAGCATTAACCATATCATATTGAGAATTCCAGCGAGTCTTATTAGCACTTAGAATACATATACCTATATTTTCAAAACGTCCTGCAACTAATGTTGAAGAATGAGATAGTTTAGCGATCTTTGAAACTTTTTCCAATGAAGCTTGAACACAATCCGAACTTTTCAAGCCATCTTTGACCACTAATTGAATTGTGTGAGAATAACATGGTAGTCGAAATGATTCATTTTCAACAACAATAGAATCAAGAAATCGTTTGACAACATCTTCGACCTCCGTTGACATCTGCTCATCGATTGGATTGTCATCTGGTTCAAATGGCTCCGAATCAATAAAACAATTCGAATAAAAATCATTATCGTCGTCTTGAAAATAAGATTCAAGGCCAGGTATAATTAAGCCGTTAAATGCTGCAATATTATTGGAAGAACTGTCGGTAATTAATCGTACAAGCTTTTCTTGAATATTTAAATTGCTAATACATGCTTCGTACGTGTCCAATAATAAAGGTGCTCGATGTTTACCGAAAATCGGTTGAAAAGACATGATATACGATTTATATTCTGCATTAACAATTGCATGACCTACAAAATCAAGCACATAAATCAATTATTTTTTCAAAAGCCACCTGTACATAGTATCTCCGGTACCTGTCAAAGCAAAAAAAGCTCGCTGTCTTCTGTCAGTTCATAAATCCAATGTCATTGAAATGAATGTTGCTTTTGAACAGAATCGTTTTAAACCATCCAACATTTTTGTATATAAGTTTGGTAATATTGAACGACTCAATGTCCGTCGACTAATTGTTGAAAATTTAGAATCCACATGGAGCATGAAATTATTAAAACCTTCACGTTCAACAAGAGATAATGGAAGACCAAGCTCTATTATTAAATCTTCAACAATAGATTTCTGTAATTCAACTTGGCGTGGATGAGTGGCCGAATAAATTGAACCTGACGAAGATTTCGGCTTACGAACATCCATTGTTTCAGTAATTTTCTTTTGATTTCTTAAACCAATTGCTTGTAATTGTTCTTGCCATGATTCATAATAATTTGGATGGCAATCTTTGATATGCCGATTGTAGTTAGACGTAACTCCTACCGTTCCACGCACTTTACTTTTGCAAATTTGGCAAGTTGCTTCCCATGATTTCTGTTGATCAGTAATTTTAATTCCGGTGTAAAACTGATCACGTGCTGTTTTTTCAACAGATTTTGTAACGGAACTTTCATCACTTGAACTCGCAGTATCACATTCAACAACAGGTGATTGTAATGACGATTCGGTAGCATCAGATGACATGATTAGATTGATGAAAAAATCGTTATTGTTTTACTGTAGAACGAGTACTTGTATTTATACAACCAAAAAACGAGGTGAAAACAAAAATTCAACTAAATCAAGTATTTTTGAATACAGATGATTGGGGGTATTGTAGATGATATCTTTGAATTTAGAGATTATTTTATCCCTTGATTTGATATATAGATGCACTCTTTCGTTCTTTCCAGCTGAGATATGCACTTGTTCATCCTCAGTCAGCTGATGTACTAGGAGGATTTTTTCATTCTAATCGAGATATATCTTTCCTCGATATCATCTGGATAGAATTGCTTAGGTCTCGTTATGGCAGACCGTTTAAAAGAGTGAAAATTTATTCGTGTTTCTGTATTGTTATCTATTTTGCATGTAAACACGATGTGTTTTCTCGATAAATGTTGATTTCCCTGGCATTCGTTTTCACCGATGTTTGTTAAATTATCGGACTCGTACAACGCAATATTAGTTCATCAGTTTAAAACGATCATCATATCAAATGTTGCTGCATTCCATAAATAAATGAAATCTGCAGATACTATTCAGATAATCGATATATACTTTCTGGGCACTAAAAACCGTATTAGAGAACATTATAAATGCACTGAGCACACAAAAGGCAAAGATAATGACAAGATTATAAGACTGCTATGCTATAGATATAGGAAAAAATTTAGATTTATATTTGCACACATACATTGACTGTACTGCAATTTAAACCGATCATAACATATATACCAAATGAAGAAGCATCTTTTGCTGAAATAGTGTGCAATGCAATTTAGGATCACACAATGATTATTTTGAATTTGATCATATTACTCAAGTATAAGAAAATTTTACGTGATTTTCCTGAATTGAATTGAGTTCAATTCATAGACCTTGAAAAGAAATTCTCTCAACTCAATTCAATTCAATTACATGAACATGGAAAATTCTCTCAACTCAATTCAATTCAATTTATCAATTCAGAGAAGCATCGTCAACTCAATTCACGTCAACTCAAAAAATGAATTGAAATGAGTTGAGTTGCCCAGCTCTGCCTTCTACAGGCCGCACTCATAAATATTCGGTACTAATAGTTAACATTCATGTTGGATCTGTGGGAACACAATCTCGGCACTCTCTTGTCTTGTCTTTGAAGTTGAAAAACAACGATTCGTACCAGTATCCACTATGCACTCAGATGCATAGAGAGAAGATTGTCAAAGTACTCTTGTGACTTGAACGAGCTTTATACTACAAAAATGAGGAGAACGATCGTCTCCATTGATCTCTAGTTTCTGGTAGATAAGACATGCTAGAAAGGAGGTGGAAAGATCGGGTGGCCTACGAAGTCACTTTATTGAAAGAAAAATGGCTATCGATAGAGTTTTGACATCAAGTGAAGAAGACGAGTTTTCTCATCACTGTTTCAAAAATGCAGAGTTATTCAAAGAATCAAGTGCTTTCGTGAACAGGTCTTCAAAGTCTTTTTGAAAGTGTTCAGATACGATTTGGATGGCACGACAAAGACAATGAAGATCAATATCGACGGAGTGAAGGAAACGAAATATCCGAAGAGATACAACCAGAGATGATCAGAGACGTTGAGACATCCAGGGAGTAACGCGAGAATCAAACGAGGCAAGGCTAAAATCATCAAAGTCACTGAACTGATTAATAATCTTTTGTGTTCATGGAATTGTTCACGAACATGTTCAAAATATGTTTGACGAGTTTGAGCGTTGGATCTTTGTCGAGCGACACCGAAAATAATGAATAGAGAAGAGAAGAGATTCAGAGTGAACGGACCAAGTAGATGAATAAACTGAATGATTGTATTGTAAGTTTGAACAGAAGGCGAATAACTGGTCACACACCAAACATCACTCTGCTTAGTTTCATTGGTATACTCAACTATTCTTGTGACGTTATCCACTGTTTCGTTCAGATATTCTTTCTTGATCTCGGGTTGATATTCGAAGAGTTTCCGATGAAGAGGTTCATGAATGAAAGTAGAGAGAATACAGAAAGGTGAAAGGAAAACTAGCCAGTATGCCCAACGTTGACTTGTCTTCTTATCGAAATGAACTCCTTTGAAAACAAGAATGGCTCGTTCAACAGCCACATAAGCATTGAACCAACTATCCAAATGGATCAACACTTTCAGAAAACATTCGATGAACACACAGCCAGCACGAAGAACAGAGACGTTGATCAATATCTTCGTTTGCGAAACAATGAGGAACCAAAACTTCAACGTGAAGATACCTACGGTCAGTAAAGATGTGATAGACGAGGCGAAAAGATAGATTCCACATCCCGTTTGCCGAAGATCCTTGTTAATGAATGTGAAGAGAGAACAAGCGCCATTGATCAATCCTCCCACCAACATAATCATTGTCAAAGCTGCGCTCAATTGCACAGACAGTGGTTGATCAGTCAGTACAGTTCCTTCTCGCACTTGATCCTGTAGAATATCATCCAGAGTGATTCCAATACTTTTGATGGTCGATCGACATCCTTGGCCAAGAACACAGCTTGGATGTTGTACTTCTAAGAATATGAACAGATGAATTCATTCAGAGAGAATATTTATCAAATACTCACTGTAAAGATTGAATGAGATGTTCTGAGGACCTGCGACGATCACAGAAAAGTTTCCTTTAACATTGAGATCGTATGTTGTGGCAACGAGAATGTATTTTCTATTCGTCTGAAGGTTGGTGATCAATTTGAATTGTCCGTCATTGCAGTCTCCACTGTGCTGAAGAAGTAAATGCTCAAATGGTTTCAATGGATCGAATTGCTTTTCATAGATGTAACCGAATGTCTCCATCGTACCGACACTCCAAAGGATATAGCTGCCCGCAGTTGTCACCTCAATTTCAAACGCTTCATAGTAATAGTTGGGCTGTCGACAATCTCGAGAAAACGTCGAACTATTCGAAGTGAATTGTGAGGAGAATTGCAGTTGAATTATCAATGGATTCTCTGAGAAAGAAGAAAAGCTTGCGAGAGTATATATGCAGACCTCAACGAAGAGACTGATCAATCTGCCCCATTCTTTTCTAGTTCTCTGACTTGATCAGAGAACGATCTTTTCTTCTCCTCCAAGGATTGTCTCTGTTTCGAAAAGGCAGTTCAGAAGGATTTCCCCCTTCTTTCGATCGTCAACTGATCTGAAGAGTGAAATGAGAAGTATTAGACAGGGGGATAGATGTACTCACCGATATGTCCAATAATGGCATTGATTGGGCCAGATACTTCGAACGCGAATGTTCCAGTATTAGCTGGATCCCTTGTTGTGACTACTAATATGTAGATTCGATTCATTTCGAGAAAGACTGGAATTTCACGATGGGCAGGAAGAAGTTCAAAAATCTCTTCTGATCGGTTCTCCAACGGTTTTAATGGATTGAAAGTGTTCGTGTAAAAAGAAGCATATAAACTATCCATTCCAAAACGTCGCACTACATAATTTCCACTGACATTGACAGTCACTTGGAAAGTTTCATAATAATACTGATTATCCGTGTCGCACATCCGAGAAAATCTTTGACTAGTTTCACTTAATGTCACAGTGACTGATGTTGTGAAAAGGAATGGAATTAGATCTAATGGGCAACAAATAAGCTAATTCAAACGCTCAATAAGAAATCGGCAAAGATTGAGTGATGTTTTAGTCTTCGTCAAAGAGATTTCTCCTCTAGCAATTTCTCGATCTCTCCTCATCCGAGATGGTTTCCTCTAAAGATGAACTTTCTTACCGCATGGGGTTTTCGACAAAATGAACTTTTGAATTCCATTATTATACGTATCTGCGATAAAGATATCCCCATAGCCATTGAAACTAAGACTCCGGGGTTGACTCAGTTCAAAGGATAGTGTACTACGTTCATCACAACCTATCAGACATCGAAGGCCACTGGGTCCCGGACCAACAATACGATGATTGTGGCGGTCCACAATATAAGGCCGTTTGTCTGCATCCAGAACGATTCCAGCGGGGCAATAGAGTGAGATTTGGTAGATCGATGGCCTTCTTCCGACCAATGTGATACCGGTGGGTTGATTTGATCGAAAGAGTTGAATTCGATTATTACCACAATCCGCCACATACACATCGAAATTGGTATCAACAAAGATTCCTTGAGGAAAGAAAAGCAAATTTGAAGCATCACCAGAAGTACCGTTTCCGGCCACGTTTATTGGTTCGATCCCCACACTCTTCAAAGCTCTTTTCTTCACCAGATTCCCAAAAGACAACGAACAGTACAGATTCTCTTCGATATCAATAAAGAGACCATCACAAGTGCTTGTGAACGTAATGATAGACTGCGTAGTCCCTGTCTCCAGCGAATATTCGATGACATGTCCATCTTCTTCGTTACTAATGTAAATGAGGTCATTGCTGCTGACAAAGATCGAGTTCGGGAGGAACATCTCTTCAGAGCTGAAGATTTGCGGATCAGTACTGTTTTCCAACCACATCAAGATCCGATGTTTGGAATAATCAGTCGCAAAGACTGTGTTCTTGCGATTGACATGAACATTCATCGGTGTGAAGTGTGGAGAAAATGAATTGACCAAAGTGATAGCACGTGGATTCCAAGAAGGACAAGCCGAGAGATTTGGTTCATTGTACGAGAGATCTACAGAGAACAGAAGTTTCTTCCAAATGATCGAGAATGATCTCCCTCTCTGCTAGACATAGATAATCTCCCAAATGTGATCAGTGATACGAAGAGAACTTTTATCCAACTAACTCTATCTGGCACTTAAGTCCTGAAAAAGCTCCATCGGAGTAGTCAGTATCTTTTTGACTGTTTGAAGAAGAATGATCAATCTATTCTTGAGTTAGATCAAAGAAAACACTTACTAAATCCGTCGTTTACCACAATGAACAGAAAATAGATCATCAGTCTGGGATCAACCATCTTAGTTCTCTTCAGATTGACGAGAGAAAGCGCACAGCATTCAGTAAGTTACTCATGAATTGCATCCTACGTTGATCATCAGACGTGTCTTCAATCACAACAAAAGATCATTTTCATCAATCGACAGGTCTTCTGTATCATTATCATGTCCTCATTTCATATTCTGTCGTGTCAATATACTTTGTCATGATTTCTTCGAGTCACGTTCCATTCTTCTCTCTTCCTCTCTGATCTCTTTCCTTCGATCAAATGCACGTCAATGATTCTCGGAGAAAACTCGCTTAAAAAACTAACAGTGGATTCATGTTCCTCGACCAAAATTACCCCCAGGTGAACCCTTATAAAAAAAAATTTGTTATGAGAAGTATTCCGTTATATGGAAAAAATCGATCTCAGATAATAAACGCCGTATCCGATTGTATACGATCACGGTGATATACGACCGTAACACGACGCATACCAAAACGGGCGATTTACGGTCCGTATACCGCCGTTTACGGTCGTCGTAACGTTCGACCTGAGGAAAATCAGATATGTTCAAAAAGTTACAAGTTATTACTCAAAGTAATAATAAATATCCAGCAACTATATTATTCTTTCACGCTCTAATTAAAGTTGTTCATCTTGAGAGAGTCTCTTCATCGACAAATAAAAAAATATCTATCAGTTTTTCTCACATTGCAAAACAAACGAGACAAAGTACTCAGCTTAGCAATAGTATTTTAGAAGTGACCTTCATTTATATTGACATACTCGCAAGACATTTAGTGTTGATAGATGAGAAAATTGGTTGCCAACACAAAATCGGAGGTATCCTTCTTTGTTCTTCGTATTTTCTCTCATTCGGAATAACACACATCTCGATAAAAGTCTCTCTCTCTCTCTCTCTCTCTCTCTCTCTCTCTCTCTCTCTCTATAATAGCAGAATTCATTCAAAGGAGTGGTATGGATTTACTGTATTATTATATTCACTTGATAGATTATTTCTATTGACTGATGCGTGGATTTTTTATTGACGACTCAGTCGGATAGTTTTTTTATTTCTTTACAGAATTAATATAATGAATACGTCATTCAGTCCAGGTGAGAAAATTCGGTCCGGAACCGAACGGATCCGCAGTAATGCGGACATTTCATGGAAGCAGTATTCCGACTCGGAATTTCTCGGAAAAGCGAGTATTTATATTCCGAAATATCCGTAAGAAACCGGACCACTGAATACCGACGGTCCCGCAAGAATCCGAAAAACACATGCCAATCATTTGAAATTCCATCTTTGCGAAAAACTCACACCATGAATTTCCCAGGAATGTATATCAACACTTCCAAATACATTACCTAATCGCTGCCTAAAAAAACGCAAACTTCATATCAACATACATCTTTCACAAAACCATTTATCCCAATCTTTGAAAGCACAAAATCAATCATCTCGTGCCCTAATCCACGACCGAAAACGTGCGCACTATCGAGATACATCAGACGCCATTCTATTTCATACTTCCCAATGACAAATTTCGGCCATTTCGGCTGGTCGATCATATCAGGATTAATGAGACGATTCAAATCGGATTAATAACCCTTCTCCAAAATGCGGGATTTCCGGCATTTGGACAGGTCCAGCATACCAGGATTATTAATCCGATATCAATCCTATCAAAAATCGATCAGCCATATCACAGGAGAAATAAGACGAGGATTATCAATCCGATTTTAATTCTCGGATAAGTTTTATGAACAACGATGAAAAATGAGTGGTGGACAATTCAGCTGAAATGATCCGCGAATTACGATTTCAATTTTGATAGGCTGAGAAATTGAATGGCAAATGGGGATAAATGTGTTCCGATGAGTCCTATTGCTGTTTTTGTTTATACGATGTGGTGGATGAGTATAGAAAAGGTTTGGGAATGCGTCGGGCTGGCTGATGTGGTGTATTACGGGTGTTTTTCAGAATATTTTGTGGTTATTATCGGTTTCTGAGTTGTCTGGTTATAGATATAAATGATGATCGGTCGGAAGCTCGCCGTGAGTGGGTTTTGTCTATAGGTTTTGGTGGCTTCTGGTGGCATCGTCACGAAAAGGGGGGGGGGGGGGGGGGGGGGGGGTTGGGGAGGGTGGTTTTTTGCCTTGGGGGCCCTGGGCGGGGGGGGGGGGGGGGCTGGCGGGGAGGGAGGGAAGGGCGTTGAATGGGCGGA